AAATAGCCAATGCAGAACAGAGAAATGAAATTCTCAAGCTAATGGTGATTGGACACACCAGGGCCACCCTGTGTAGCGGCTGCAAATAACAACCAGTCAGGAATGGAGCAGGATAAAGAAAGAACAAAGAAAGTGAATCCAGCAGATAACTAACGTGTGAACATTCCGAATGGAGTTTTATGCTTCTAGAGGAAAACAACATTAAATTAAAGACCAGTATAGAACCAATCAAGTGACCAAACAAAAATGATTACCTCTGGGGAAAACGAAAGTATCCGATAAAGAAAATACAGTCTCATAACATTGGCCCAACTAATGAGTAATACTAATGAAGTCATAAAAATATAACCACTAAATTATTTAAGGACACATTATGCTATATCTGAACTCTGCCAGAAGAAAGAGCAGCGCAAGGCCGCTGCATGAGCTGGGGTCCTAGAAGGGGCACCCAAGTGTTGGCACCACAGCCCAAGGTCTGCACCAGGCTGCTGCACTTACTGGAGGAAGAGTACCCTCCCCTAATCCACACAAAGGCACGACAGGAGCTAGTCCAGGCCTGGGGACAGTGAGTGTAGATGTGTTTTCCGAGAGCCAGTCTCAATCACCTACAATTAATGGATATACAGTCATGTGCCACATAACGACATCTCAATTGACAAAATGGACCACATATACAACAGTAGTCCTATAAGATTATAATACTGTATTTTTACTGTACTTTTTTTTGGGGGGGGGGGACAGGGTCTGGCTGTGTTGCCTAGGATGGGGCACAGTGGCGCAATCTTGTCTCACTGCAACCTCCACCTCCCGGGCTCAAGCCATCCTCCCACCTCATCCTCCCAAGTAGCTAGGACTACAGGCCTATACCACCACACCCAGCTAATTTTTTGGATTCTTTGGTAGAGAAGGGGTTTTGTCATGTTGCCCAGGCTGGTCTCAAATTCCTGGGCTCAAGTGACCTGCCCACCTTAGCCTCCCAAAGTGCTGAGATCACAGGCATAAGCCACCATGCCTGGCCCTACTGTACCTTCTCTATGCTTAAATATATTTAGATACACAAATACAAGTTTGCTACAACTGCCTAGAGCATTCAGTAGAGTAACATGCTGTATAGTTTGTAACTTAGGAGTAACAGGCTATACCACATAGCCTAGGTGTACCAGGTTATAGGTACACACTACACATCTAGGTCTGTGTAAGTTTACTCGATGATGTTTGCATGACAATGGAATTGCCTAACACATTTCTCAGAACGTATCTACGTCATTAAGTGATGCATGATTGTAAGGAAACCTGGGGGAAAAAAATCAAGAAGAAAATAAAGAACAACATAAGCAAGTTTCTTTAAAAAAAAAAAAAAGGTAGGCCAGGTATGGTGGCTCACGCCTGTAATCCCAGCACTTTGGGAGGCCGACGCGGGCAGATTACCAGAGGTCAGGAGTTTGAGACCAACCTGACCAACACAGAGAAACCCCATCTCTAGCAGCCTAGTTTAGGGAGCTGCTTGATGTCCACAGGGCTATACTGCCCCAGAGAAGGAGCCCACATACAGCACCATCTAGAAAACCAAGCCATAGCTGTGTATATCTGCTCCATGAACTAGTGGTCACTGCCTCCTCTGAAATGACAGAGGCTACCCTGTCATTACAACAGCATTCTCCAGGAAAGCAGCTACTGCTCTCTCTATCCTAGAAACAAACTCTCAAAGAGGTCTGCCTTCCACATCCTAGTGACTGCGACACTCTAACTGTGGGCTGATTTCTCATGCCATTGGTGTGCTCACCAACTGGGCCTGTTGCTTCCAGAGGATCCCCATCTCAAGCCTGCAGACCAGCCCCAATAATCCACAGCCAGGCGAGTGTTTCCAGGAGAGTCCCATCTCAAACTGGTGAACCAACCCTTATGACTCAGTAACACACTCACTAGCTAGGCATGCAGCTTCCTGAGACTGCCGCCTTCCTCCACAACCCCCAGTCCTGAGCAGAAAAACAAACTGCACATGCTCCTGCAGCCTAGGTCACCAAGGCACTCAGAGGTATCGCCAAAATGGATAATAGCAAAAGAAAAAAAAAAAGGCAAGAGAAAAGCACAGATACTACATTATTCTGTCCTCCCGGAACTAAAGCAGATGCAGCCCATCCAACTGTCACCCTAAGACACTTCTCCAGGTGAAAGTCTTTCTCTACATAAACTACTCTATACAACTGGAAAAGGTGACCATGTCAACAGTATCATAAATATAAACATAGGAGATAAGAAACATGAAAATGCAATGAAACTCGACACCACCAAAGGTGCATAATGTTTCACAAAGTTACCCTAAATAAATGGCAATTTTCAAACTGCCTTAAAAGGAATTTCAAATATTGATCTTAAGAAAATTCAATGAGATACAAGAGAATACAGATAGAAAACCTAACAAATAATAAAAAAAAGCCATAACCTGAATGAGAAATTCAACAAAGACATAGATATCATTAAAGAAAACAAACCAACAGAAACCTTAGGAATGAAGAACTGAACGAGTGAAATAAAAAGCACAACTGAGCTTCAACGGCACACTAGGTCAAACAAAAGAAAGAATTTCTGAACTTGCAGACAGGACTTTTGAAATAACCCAGCCTGAGGGAAAAAAGGAGAAAAAAAGAGGAAAAAGAATCAAAGAAAGCCTATGAGACTTGTGCCATGACATTACGATAACAGATTTTGGAAATATAGAAGAGAAACAGAAGAGACAGACAAAGACACAGAAAACTTATTTAACAAAATAATAGCTGAAAATCTCCCAATTCTTGGGGGACATATGGACACCCAGTTCCATGAAGCTTAAAGGGTCTAATACATATTCAATCCAAAAAGGCCTTGTCTAAGGTACATTATAATCAATTTGTCAAAAGTCAAACACAAAGAAAAAATTCTAAAATTAGCAAGAGAGAAGCATCAAATCCCAAGTAAGCAAGTCTCCTTTAGACTATAAGGAGTTTTCACAGCGGAAACCTTGAAGGCTAGGAGACATTAGGATGATATATTCAAACAAAGTGCTAATGAGAAATCTGTCAGCAAAGAGTACTGTACTTAGCACAGCTACCCATCAGAAATTAAAGAAATAAAGTCTTTACCAGACAAGCAAATGCTTATGGAATTCATCACCATAAGACCAGACTGACAAGAAATGCTTAAGGGAGTGCTTCAACCACAAGTGAAAGAACAATAACTACTAATGCAAAAACACAGGACATTATCAACCTGTTAAAAATAAATTAACATTCAAATTGAGAATTCTACATTACTGAAATGATGCTTTAGAATCTTTCAAATCACCCTTGAGAAAGGTGAACATCAAAATAGTCAAAGATATTTATATCCACAATGAGTTCTTAACAAATGCCCAATACAGAACAATATAAATTAAGGCAAAAAAGTACAAATTCTGTGCATTGACAGGGGATGTGGGGACAGTATAGCAGGTTCGTGTGTGATCAAAACTTTTTATCAGCTTTAAATAGTCTATCACAACTATAAATTTTTAAATGGAAGAGTAACCAAAGAGAAAAAAATTACACCAGATATGTCAATGAAATAAAGAATCAAAGTTTATCAGTACAGAAACTCACCAAACCATAAAGCGAACAAAAGAAACAAAAGATCTACAAAACAACCAGAAAACAATTAACAAAATGACAGAAGTTAACTTCTTGCCTTTTAATAATATCTTTGAATACAGACAGTTTCAGTTCTCCAATAAAAAGATGTAGAGTGGCTGAATGGTTTTTCATACATGTTTCCCTAGTCCAGACACCCAAGAGTATGTCCTTCTCTAGGGCATAAGAAAATCTAGAGTTACATTTAGGGCATCATAATGTGTAGTGAATAGTTGACTGAGCTGGCATGCTCACAATGACCAAATTATGTTTGCCATATTTTAATCCAATACATTGATCTACTATTAACTTGTAAATAATGTATTTGTTTTCTAGACACATTCCAGGAAGACCAGAGAAACTGACTTTTATCTATATGGAATAATCCACTGGCAAATTTCTTTTAGGATAGACCAAAGCTGATCTAGAACATAATCTTTACATAGCTGGATCCTTCCCATCAGACAAGAAAGAACATCTGGGTTGAAAGGCTCCATTAGAAGAGCAATGTGGGATGGTGCTGTGCTGACAACTGGTAGTCCCTGCCCTACATCTTTGTAGAGGACTGGAGCCCAGAGTGGGCCATGGTCAACTTATATGTTGAAGTGAAGACCTCCTTCTAGGTGTGCATGTGCTTATTACAGATATGCCACGGTGCGAAGTACCCCAGGACTACAGGAATAAATAAGAATACGTGCTGTATCCATGATCATGAGGCACACAGGCCAGAGTGCCAGCTGTGGAATAGCACAGCTCGGGTCCAAAGCCTGGCTGGGCCATGACCACCTGAATGACCTGAGTAATGATCTCAGACAAATTTGTAAAAAGAAGTGGAGGCCCTGCCTGCCAGGGGGCTATGCGGTAAGAGGCAGCATCCAGTCAGGTCAGGGCACCGTGTCCTCTCCTTGGAAACCTGTGCAGCGAGGCTGGAGGTCCTCAAGGCCACCGCAACCATGGAGAAGGCGGGCCTGGCTCCAGGCGGCACAGAAGCAATGGAGAGGCCCTGGAGAGCCTGATGAGATCTGGCTGGTCCTGCGCCCTGCTTCCAGCAAGTTCTGGCACTGTAACCCGGGGAACAGGGCCAGCCAAGACAGGGCCACTGGGTGCCAGCCAGCACCTGGGCCAGGCACTAGGCGGGAAGGGCTCTGGCGGATCAGCCCCGCACCCCCAACAGCCCCCAGGCCCCATCCAGAGCCACACATGTGCCCCCAGGAGCAGGTCGTCCCTGAGGCTAGAGTCCAGCTGGACCGGTGGAGGGGCCCCGCCCTTTGTCCTTTGACTCCTCTTGTAGGCACCCTCGCTGGGCTCCTAAGCACTCCTCCACACCCTGGCTCTGTCACCAGCCCCATGGTGATGTCATAAGCTCCCAGGTGCCCAGTGCGCACCCAGCCACAGAGAAGTGGGTGACTTAGGAGTATCCTCTCCACTTCTGACCCCTAGTTTCGTCCGCGCACAACTTGCTCAAAATGGGCAACTCACTAAGCATATTTTGTTCCTGGTTCCGCCGCAGGTCCCGGCGAGGCCATCGGCAACGTGCTCGTCTCAGCGTATTTTGTTCCTGGTTCCACCACAGGTCCCCGCCATGCCATTGGCAACCTGCTCGTGTTATCCGTGAGGCCTTCCCAGCTGGCAGGGCTCACCCTGCGGCTCCTGCACCTATGCCTGCCTCGAGAACCCTGGGCTGTTCCCGATTCCTCTTCTACCCTCAGCGACATCCTGGGCCTTCTTTTCCAGCCAGGTGGGACGGCGCCCCTACGAGGCTGTGTCTTCTCCCTCGGAACAGGGGCACCCCACCGAGGGTCCCGCCTCCTGTGGTCTGGAGCCCCCCCTCAAGGAAGAAACCCGTGCTGTCTGCTCGCAACTCCATGATGTTCGGACACCCCAGCACCGTGAGGATCCCTCGCCTCAGACGCACGTTTAACCTCCGACTGCCTTCATTAGATGAGCAGGTGATCCCAGCCAGGCTCCCGAAGACGGAGGTGAGGGCAGAAGAGCCCAAAGAAGCAACGGAGGTGAAAGACCAGGTAGAGACGCAGGGGCAGGAGGACAATAAAAGGGGCCCTTGTAGCAATGGGGAAGCAGCCTCCACCTCTAGGCCCCTGGAGACTCAGGGAAACCTCACTTCCTCCTGGTGCAGTCCCAGGCCCTCGGACGGAAATGCCCACCTCAAGAGCTTGACAGAAAAGAACCAGAGTGACAAGGCCCAGGTGCATGCAGTGAGTTTCTACTCCAAGGACCATGGAGTTTCCAGCTCACACAGCCCTGCTGGAGGCATCCTTCCCTTTGGGAAGCCTGACCCAGCTCCAACAGTGCTCCCTGCCCCAGTTCCGGGCTGCTCCCTGTGGCCAGAGAAGGCAGCCTTGAAGGTGCTGGGTAAAGACCACCTGCCCAGCTCTCCAGGCTTGCTGATCGCGGGGAAGGACATGCAGCTCAAAGATCCTGCAGCCCTTCTTGGATCAAGTAGCTCTTCTCCACCCAGAGCTGCCGGCCACGGGTCCCGCAAAAGAAAGCTGTCAGGGCCACCACTGCAGCTGCATCCCACCCCTCCCCTGCAACTGAGGTGGGATAGAAACGAGCGGGCCCCACCCGCTAAGCTTCCCTGCCTATCTCCTGAGGCACTGTTAGAGCTGGGTCAGGCTTCCCAAAGGGAAGGACACCTCCAGCTGGGCAACATGGATAAGAACATGGGGGTGTTAAGTAGAACATCAAAATCCAGGAGACGAAAACAGCCGCTTGGGAGGAGAAAGAAGATACGGCAGCGCAGGCGCGGTGGCTCACGCCTGTAATCCAGCACTCTGGGAGGCCGAGGCGGTGGATCAGGAGGTCAAGAGATCAAGACCTGAAGAGCATCTCTGCCTGGTCCCCGCACCATCTGGGCAGTGAGGAGCATCTCTGCCTGGGCCCCGCCCCGTCTGGGCAGTGACGAGCGCCTCTGCCTGGCCCCCCGCCCGGTGTGGGCAGTGAGGAGCGCTCTGCCCCGCTGCCTCACAGTCTGGAAAGAGAAGAGCACCTCTTTCTGGCCGCCGTCCCATCTTGGCAGTAAGAAGCGCCTCTGCTCGGCCCCCTCACCGTCTCTGTCCGGCCCCCTCACCGTCTGGGAAATGAGGAGCGCCTCTGCCAGGCCACCACCGCGTCTGCGAAGTGAGGAGCCCTTCTGCCTGGCCTCCGCCCTGTCTAGGCAATGAGGAGCACCTCTGCCCGGGCCCCTCACCATTTGTTAAGGGAGGAGCGCCTCTGCCCAGCCCCTGCACCCTCTGGGAAGTGAGGAGCGCTTCTGCCCGGCCACCGCCCTGTCTGGGAAGTGAGGAGCACCTCTGCTCGGCCCCCTCACCATCTGGGAAGCGAGGAGCGTCTCTGCCGGGCTGCTGTGCAGCCCTCCAGGTGTGAAGTGACAGTCTTGTGTGTGATTTTTCTGCCCTTCCCAACTTTGTATTTTTGACATTAAAGCTTTTAATTAAAAAAAAAGAGATCGAGACCATTCTGGCCACCATGGTGAAACTCCATCTCTACCGAAAATACAAAAATTAGCCGGGCATGGTGGCTCGTGCCTGTAGTCCCAGCTACTCGGGAGGTTGAGGCAGAAGAATGGCTTGAACCCGGGAGGCGGAGGTTGCAGTGAGCCAAGATTGCGCCACTGCACTCCAGCCTGGCGACAGAGCAAGACTCAAGTATACAAGACAAAAGACCCAAGTATGCAAGCAATATATATCATATAAATGGGTAGTGAGATTAAGTATCAGCAAGATACCAAGCCTCCTAAATTAATCCATAAATTCAACACACTTCTAATAAAAAACCCAAATGCATTTTTTTGGTTAAGTATGATCACCCAAACCTAAACTCACAGTGAAGAAGGGTCAAGAATAGCCTAGACAATTCTGAAGAACATGGAGGTAGAAAGACACTCTAATCAACGTTTATTATAAAGCTGTGGTATATATGAATGAGTCTCTGGTACACAGAGATACAAATATACCCAATGAATAAAAATAAAAGCCAGAAACAGACCCTTTAGAAGGGAATATGGCTTACCAAAGAAGGGAAATTTCCAAGCAGTAGGTAAATACTAGATTATTCAACTAATAATGCTGGGACAACTGGCCATCATATGGAAAACAATCAAATTAGACCTTTTGGGTAGGAAAGGATTCCCTAAGACCTCAAAAGACCAAATTATAAAAGACTGCTAAGTTTGGGCCGGGCGTGGTGGCTCACATCTGTAATCCCAGCACTTTGGGAGGCCAAGGCGGGCAGATCACAAGGTCAGGAGATCGAGACCATCCTGGCTAACACAGTGAAACTCCGTCTCTACTAAAAACACAAAAAATTAGCCAGGTGTGCCGGTGTGTGCCTGTAGTCCCAGCTACTGGGGAGGCTGAGGCAGGAGAATGGCGTGAACCCGGGAGGCGGAGCTTGCAGTGAGCTACTGGGGAGGCTGAGGCAGGAGAATGGCGAGAACCCGGGAGGCGGAGCTTGCAGTGAGCCAAGATCGCGCCACTGCACTCCAGCCTGGGCGACAGAGCGAGACTCTTGTCTCAAAAAAAAAAAAAAAAAAAGATTGGTAGGTTTGATTTCAGAATATATAAAACTTTTATAAGACTAAAGAGATCTTCAGAAGTGAAGAATAAAAGCTCCTCTGTGATCAGATCAGAATCAGAACAATAATACTCAGGAAAATATCTCGTATCACATTCTAAAATAAACTAAATATTTTTATGGCAACAGGCATATATGGTAAAATTATAAATATAAGCAAAGACAATCACCAACTTCAAGACGGTGGTTATCTGTATGAGAGGCAAGAGTAAATGACGGAGGCGAAGGAATTTCTTAAGATACATTTGTAATATTGTATTTATCTGTAAAAGTAAGTTTGAATTAAAAATAGCAAACTGTTAACACCTATTAATTCTGGATGGCAGGTATATAGGTGTCTGATATCAACTTTCTGTATTCTTAATATATTTCTTAACTAATGAAAATACATACAATATAGCAAAGATAGCCAAGAGAATGAAAAGTGAAAAATAGATGAGACACTGGAAGCAAGCAGGGAAGAGGCATAAGTGAGCAGAAGCTCCATAATTCATACTGTGGGATCAACAGGTGTTGTCTGTAGTTGGTGAATCAACAAACAGTAGTTAAGCATACTATAGTATCTAGAATTATGAAGGTAACATGTAACAGATTTTTTTTTTTTTTTTTTTTTTTTTTTTTTTTTTGAGACGATCTCGCTTGTCGCCGGCTGGAGTGCAGTGGCCGGATCTCATCACTGCAAGCTCCCTTCCGGTTTACGCATTCTCCTCCTCAGCCTCCGAGTAGCTGGACTACAGCGCCACCATCTCGCCCGGCTAGTTTTTTGTATTTTTTTTAGTAAGACGGGTTCACCGCGTTAGCCAGATGGTCTCGATCTCCTGACCTCGTGATCCGCCCGTCTCGGCCTCCCAAAGTGCTGGAATTACAGGCTTGAGCCACCGCGCCCGGCCTACATGTAACAGATTTAAAATCAGAAAATAACCAGATGGGTAAAAACCAGGAGTCTGTTGCTTTTCATTTTAAGTGTTCGACCATTTGAAATATTAACACGTGCACATTCTTGGAAAAAAGGGCAAGCATTAATGCTTACATTGGAGATTTTAAAAAATGTCTATATCATCCCTAGAATAAATTTTTTAAAATCAGGAGCTAAAGCTGTTACTCCTGGGAACTTCTTTTTTTTTTTTTTTTTTTTTTTTTTTTGAGACGGAGTCTCGCTCTGTCGCCCAGGCTGGAGTGCAGTGGCCGGATCTCAGCTCACTGCAAGCTCCGCCTCCCGGGTTCACGCCATTCTCCTGCCTCAGCCTCCCGAGTAGCTGGGACTACAGGCGCCCACCACCTCGCCCGGCTAGTTTTTTGTATTTTTTTAGTAGAGACGGGGTTTCACCGTGTTAGCCAGGATGGTCTCGATCTCCCGACCTCGTGATCCGCCCGTCTCGGCCTCCCAAAGTGCTGGGATTACAGGCTTGAGCCACCGTGCCCGGCCTACTCCTGGGAACTTCTAAACGTCTTGTTTCAGATAAAAAAGGACTACTACATATAAAGCACTATACACTGCAAGTTACTACAAGAAGCCAAATACAAGTATTTCAGGTAGCAAAATCAATTTACCCTGAAACGATGTTGTAGTTGAGAGCGGGATGGTCTTTCGGGACAGGAGGAACAAGAGGTTCTGGCTGCCACTCTTCAATCAGTTCTTCTTTTTCCTATAGGAGAAAAAGAATTAAAATACAGTGCAGTGCTAATATTATCAATTATGAGTGTCTCTGCTACTTCACTATCTCTTATTATTCTAATTCTACTAACTATTCTCAAGTTCGCTGTCACTCTTATTCAAGCTTATGTCTTCACATTATTAGTAAGTCTTTGTTTGCATGATAATACATAATGACCCACCAGATACATGCCTACCATATAGTTGTACCTAGCCCTTGACCACTAACAGGAGCTCTCTCGGCTCTCCGAATAACATCTGGCCTAACCATAGGATTACTTTATTTCTACCACTCTTAAAAGTTAAAACTTTAGGCCTACTAACCAACACACTGACTATATATCAATGATGACGTGATATTGTCCGAGAAAGTACATTCCAAGGCCACCACACAGCAGTTGTCCAAAAAGGCCTCTGATACGGGATGCTCCTATTATCTCTGAAGTATTCTTCTTCGCCAGTTTTTTCTGGGCATTCTATCACTCCAGTTTAGCACCAACCCCAGAATTAGGAGGACACTGACCCCCAACAGGTATTCTTCCCCTGAACCCTTTAGAAGTACCTCTCCTAAATACGTCTGTATTATTGCATCAGGAGTTCCAATTACTTGAGCCCATCACAGCCTAATAGAAGGTAACCAAAAACAAGTAATTCAAGCACTATTTACCACAATCCTCTTAGGAGTCTATCTCACCCTTCTAAAATCTCAGAATATTTCGAGGCCCCCTTTATTATCTCTGATGGAATCTACAGCTCAACATTCTTTACAGCCACAGGCTTTCATGGACTTCATGTTATTATTGGATCAACAATTCTCACCATCTGCCTTCTCTGCCAATTAAAATTTCATTTTAGGCCAGGCATAGTGGCTCATGCCTGTAATCCCAGCACTTTGGGAGGCTGAGGTGGGCAGATCACCTGAGGTCGGGAGTTCGAGACCAGCCCGACCAACATGGAGAAACCCCGTCTCTAATAAAAATACAAAATTTGCGCGTGCCTATGATCCCAACTACTCGGGCAGGCTGAGGCAGGAGAATTGCTTGAACCTGGGAGGCAGAGGCTGCGGTGAGGCGAGATTGCGCCATTGCACTCCAGCCTGGGCAGCAAGAGCAAAACTCTGTTTCAAAAAAAAAAAATTCATTTTACATCCAACCACCATTTGACTTTGAAGCCGCCACCTGATATTGACACTCTGTAGATGTCGTATGACTATTCCTATGTGTCTCTATCTACTGATGAGGGTCCTACTACTCTTTTAGTATAAGCAGTGCCACTGACTTCCAAGCAACTAGTTTCGACAAAGTCTGAAAAAGAGTAATTAACCTAGCACTAGCCCTAATAACTGACACCTTATTAACTCTATTAGTAGTAATTACATTTTGACTCCCATAACTTAATACTTATATAGAAAAATCCAGCCCTTATGAATGTGGATTTGATCCATTAACCTCTACCTGCCTCCTCTTCTCCATAAAATTCTTCCTAGTAGCCATCACATTTCTCCTATTCGATTTAGAAATCGCCCTACTACTACCCTGCCATGAGCCCTTCAAACAAATAACCTTATCCTAATAATCAGCACAGCCCTTCTACTAATTACCATTCTAATCCTAGGCCTAATTTATGAATGAACCCAAAAAAGGATTAGATTGAGTTAAATTGGTAAATAGTTTAAATTAAATGATTTCGACTCATTAGATTATGATAGACCATATTTACCAAATGCCATTTATTTATATTAACATTGTATTAGCATACACCGTAGCACTGCTGGGAGTACTAATCTATCGATCCCACCTAACATCATCCCGATTATGCCTAGAAGGCATCATACTGTCAATATTTATCATAAATATGCTCGTAACTGTAAACATGCATTTCACTCTAGGATTCCTCATACCCACTATCCTCTTGGTATTTGCTGCCTGCAGAGCCGCAGTAGGCCTTGCTTTGCTAGTCTCCATCTCCAACACATCTGGCCTAGACTATGTACAAAATCTAAATTGACTCCAATGCCAAAAATTATCATTCCAACAACTATAGTGTTACAATATGACTCTCCAAAAACTCTATAATCTGAATATAGCTACTCGTAGCCTATTCATCAGCCTCACTACCCTATTTTTTAATCAACCTAACAATAATTCATCTAACTTCTCATTAACTTTTTCTTCTGACCCATTAACATCACCTCTTCCAATCCAAACAGCCTGACTACTACCTCTTATAATCTCAGCAGGCCAACATCACCTGTCTAATGAATCACCCCTATGGAAAAACACTCAATATTTCC